AGGGATCGGGTGAAAATGACTGGAATATATACTGAGGAACTAATGAACATATGGACTGCAGGTGAGGAGATGGGCGGGGAAAACCAAGTGAGGGAAATGAGATGATTGCATGGCAGGGAAGAAAGGCGGGCCCTGAAATGACAGGAGAGTTAGTGATGAGACATGGAACCAAACAAAAAAACTAAAACAAACTAAGAGTTAGTGTAACTACATTACACTCAGTTTCTTTCTCTTCTTTTGTATGCATAAAATTGATAGTAATGGTTGACTTGATATGACCTAAAACATGTTTTTAAATAGAAATGTAATAGTGTGTCACTGTTCATTTTCTTACAGGAAGATGCAGAAATGGATGAATCTCAAGTGAGCCCTGCTTCTATTGATGACAAGGAGGGAAGCACTGAGCAGCAGACTCCAGAGACCAATGCACACACACTGAAGAAGAAGTCTGCACTTGCTGATCTCCTTGGGCAGACGTTCAAGACCACCCACCATCAACTGTCGGCTACTTCCATAGCTGAAATGGAGGTCAAGCAATACCTAGATGCTCCACCTCTACCACTGACTGATGACCCATTGTACTGGTGGAAATCTCATGCACAAGCCTGCCCACTCCTTGCCAAGCTGGCCCAAGGACATCTGTGTGTCCCATGGACTAGTGTACCTTCGGGATGTGTTTTTTCTACTCCAGGTGACATCAGCTCTCAGAGGAGCTGTCTCACCTCTGAGCATGCTGACCAGTTGCTCTTCCTGAAGAAGAACATGCAGTTTTGAAATGTGCGTGCAGTACAGGTTTAGGTTAAAATGACTAAGTACAAGTTAAATGTTCTCAGGTTTACAAAGAACTAATTGATATTAGTATTAGCACTGAAATGTATGTGTTAAAATGTGTGCCCAGGTTTTCATAGACCACCCAGTTGTTTGAGATTATAATGCACTGTTTATTTTTCATATGCAGTGAAATGTGCCAGTTTTCATAAAACAATTTGATTCTGCTTGTTAAGCAGCACTGATATGTGTTCATGCTTACAGAGAAGAAGTTGATAATACTAGCAGTGAGATTGTATTGTGTATGTGTATTGTGAGAGTGTATTTTCTGCATTCAGTTAGAGCAGTGAATACATTTCTTCAGTGACACAGATATCGTGATGTATCGTGGATGAAATTTCTTATATATCGATTATCGCTGTATCGTGATATTATCGTTATCGTGGGCAAAATATCATAATAGTATCGTATTGTGACGTACCTAGTGATACCCAGCCCTATTCGTCTTACCCTGCCCTACTGACAGTCTACGATATGGTATCACCAACTGCCATTTGCTAAGACTGGTCTCACCTTCTAAGTCTGGCTCTGTTAAGACCAGTCTTTAGAATGGATTTAATAAACTAAACTAAATAAACTGAAACATGGACTGATGCCACCTCTTTTAATCAGACATTTTGGTCCAAGCCACCTTTCAAACCAAACTAGTTCCGTTTCACCTAAATCTTAAACACTGGACCTTTAGAAAGGCCTACCTGTTGTGTAGGTTTGAATACAAATCTTTTTTAAATGAACAAAGACAGACTCTAGCTGCATTGTGTTGTAGACAGCTGATGTTCAGCACTCTAACCCACAGTTTTGTCACTCAGGTGAAATGTAACAGGTGACACATATCCTGTTGCAGAATTCTGGGAGATAAGACTGCATAAAGTTGAGAAAAACCTTGAAATATATACATATGTTTGTGTCTAAATATATGTTTTTTAAGAAATACATTCATTCTACATTACAAGCAGAAGCTATGAATTGGCCACAGTGCAGTGGAGACATCTGTATTGTCCAAGAAGCTTTTTTTTGGGCAGCGTACCATTTGGATTTGATAAAAGTGAGCAGCACATTTACTTGGGAGTGAATCACATTAGCATTTGTTCAATGGTGTTAATACTGTTTCGAGTCGATTTTGAATGTTGGGGCCTATGGATACTTGGATGACACAACAGGAGCAGTATGGAGGCATTCAATGTTTTTTTTCAGTTTTAAAAAGTGTTCAAATTGACACTTTGTCTGGTTCCAGCAGCTCAACAGCAGCAATTAAATTGTATTTGTACAGTACCAAATCATAACAGAAGTTAACTTCACATGAATAAATAAATCACACTCTTGATCTTGTTAAATCACACTCTTGATCTTGTTCTGACATATGGCATAGACATTGAAAATGTAATAATATTTCAACAGAACCCTGTTCTGTCTGACCATTTTTTAATCACTAGATTACTGTAATTCTTTATTATCAGGACACCCTTAGTTATGCTGCTATAGGTCTATACTGCTGGGGGAACTCCTATCATGCACTGAGCACTTCTCCCCTTCTCTCTGTCTCTCTGCCCCCCCACATTCATTTATTTATTTCAATAACTATGTTTCTTTTTTCTCCCATAGTCCCTCTCTCTCTTTCTCTCTCTCATTGCAGATATCTCTGACTCCAGAACTGCAGGACAACAACTATTATTATTATTAACAACAATACTACTTAATTATTACACTGTTATTGTTTTTATTTTAAGCGCTGATACCTCATGGGGCACAAGTGTTCCTGGACTCTCTTGCCTCTATCTCCTTATATTCTCCTTATTCAAGAGCGTGGTCTTTCAGTTTGAGGGCATGACTTGTTGAATTTATGTTCAGATTGTGTATTACTTTTCATCAAAACCCTGCCGTTATGCTCAAATAGCACCTGTTTGCACTTAAATTTGCTCTGCTTCTGCTCAAACTGTGTGCTTGCACTCAGATATATTGCTGCTTGCACAGATTTCCCGTTCTCCAATCGTCAGCCCTTCTCTACACTTGGGCGGCTTTCTGTGCGCTCGTGAATCATCTGATATTTTCTTTTATTGTTTAAGAAATGTAATTATTGTCATGAGATTTGTTTTATTCTGAGTTTTTTTTTGTTGTATCTAAATGGTAAATAGACTGCATTTATGTACTGCTTTTCTAGTCTTGTACTCAAAGTACTCAAAGCGCTTTACAGCGTATGTCGCATTCACCGATGACACACAAAATCACACATCCCTTTTACACACAGAGCTTTTTCTATCACACACCATTCACACAGTGCCAACACAGATGTCAGAAGCAATTTTCAGGGATCAGTGTCTTCCACATGGACACTAATGGCATGCAAACCACCATGGACCATCCAGTTAGTGGATGATCCACTCTCCCTCCTGAGACACAATCACCCACTATGTATGAATTGCCCACAGATCAGAGGTTCCACAACCCTGAAAGAATCCCTTTCACAACATAAATGTGTAAAGCCTCTGTGCCAAGTGAATCATGAAAGGGGTCCAACAGCACCCAAAACCTAGGAGAAAATAGCCAATTTTGCAGTCTACTTGTTAATTGTTTTGTTGGCAAGATACCAATGGGTGTAAATAGAATCTGCCATATTATTACATA